GCCGCCACCAGAGGCAGCACTGGTGAGGGTGGTAACACCAAGGAGGGTGGTGAGAGTGCTGCCACCAGAGGTGATCTCAGAGAAGATCGAGGAAACGACCGGAACAGCGGTGGCAGTGACGGTGCCAGTAGGCTGAGTGACAGTGGCACCAGGGATAACGGTGACAACGACACCGGCCTCTGATACGGTTGTTAGTGGTTTCAAGTCAAGCTTGAGATTGCTGGGAAGAGCAGAACTTACGGCGGCAGAGCTCAATGCCAGAGGCGACAGCGGCCTCAGCATCAGAAGACTGAGCGCAGCTCTGGAAAGAGCAGTCGCGAATGCCATAGGCGAAGTTCGGGTTGCGGCAGAGGCAGGCGTTGTCGCCAGCGGTGCAGCCCAGGTCAGAGGCGAGACCCTGCATGGCGGAGATACAGCCAGTCTGTTGATCGAGTTAGAATCACATATGATTCAAGGCGGTGAAGAATGAGCATCTGAGAATGGAAGTCCATGTGACTGGATTTTCCATGTTCACAGTTGAGGGAGGAAATCTACTTACGCCACAGGCGCCCTGAGCCATGGCACCAGAAAGAAGGCCAGCACCGAGGATGATGGAAGACTTCATTGTGAATGATTGTTGATGGGTTCTGTAAGACTGGAGAAGAGTAAGTCGTTTGCGAGAAAAAGTCGGCAATGAAGGACCTGGAGGTGGAATATCAGCAGAGCTCGGATTTTCGCAATCGAATCAGAATAGAAATAAGATAAAAGCGTGAGGTGAGGTAATCCGCAAAAGCAGTCAATGAACAAAATTACCTGGTGACAAAGAGCGTGCGTGGGCTTGGAAAGAAAGCCTAAAAGATTGTTTGTGATGGTGAAGAACGGAAAAGGTGGTGTGGTGAAAAGGGAAGAGAGACAACTTTGTGGGTGGGTGGAAGGGGAAAAAGAAGGCCACGAGATGGTGAGTGGCAGGTGGTGAAGGAAATGAGTGTTACGCAAATTTGGGAAGCTGCGCCTGGGGGAAGGTGTGGTGTAACTGGGGAAAGAACGAGGCAGGTCCAAGGTCGCACAAGACGAGTCAACAAACTGACAGTGAAATGTTGGTGTTCCGTTTTTCGTGTGCTTGAAAACTGAACAGGCAAAGGTGGAAATCCGAAGCAAGCAGCTTGCGGCAGCGCAAAAAGAAAATGATGAAGGCTCGTGATATCAGAGATATCGGGGATATATCAACTTACCTACGATTGATATTGATGTCAAAGCTGTCGAGGCTGTTGGAAGCGTGCTTCAGAGTATTTCGCAGTGGTGGAGCGAAAGTGTGTGATGATGTGAGGTGACGATGGAAGAGTGTTGGTGGAGAGAAGTTGGTGGTTACTCGAGGTGAGGTAAGGTGAGGTGAGGTGTCTCGGTGGATAGGGGAGATATTATTCGAGAGTGCCGAATCGAGGTAGGTAGGTAAACAATTGGAATGTCACGTGGAGCGCTGAGTATTAGAGTAGAGTACCTTAATTGAAGGACAGAGGGCAGGAACGCGGAAGGTAAAGGGAGTGCCTTCCCGTTTATAAGTCAATCGGGAGAAGAAGGTGCGGGATGGCAGTTGGGCACGACGTGCGAACTCAGGGCCGTGCCTTCCTACCTACGTATGGATACTTGGCTACGTCGCTACCTACCCTGTAGACCTGAATTCATGGGCAGGCCTTATTTCATAGCCACCACCTATTCGATTTTCGAACCATTGGACAAGGTACCTTCACTTGGCCTGGCCGACGGGAACCCGGCCTTAGCATGCAGAGCATCTGCGGTGAACTGCGAGGTGGGCTTTCCCGTCGATCAACGTTGGATTGTTTGATACCCAGATTTTTGGAGAACCATGTCATTTCGGCTGCCCCAACTTTAGTCGGCTTTGCCTCTCACGCTTGTCCTGACGTTGACATGCCGCTAGCCAGCAAATGAGAAGCCACCCGAAGCTAAGATGGTCAAGTCGATGTGGGTATCTGATGTGGAATTCATCTATCTTCCAGGCTAGTACTGCAGCAAAAGTGGCGCCAGGTTGGTGTTTACAGCTCAAGCTCGGCCCCAAGCGGTGGAAGCTCTCTCGTTGCTCCACGCCCGTTGCCGGCAACTCCAGCACCAAAAGTCAACACAAGAAAAATCCTGCTTGGATCCTAAGCCACAAACCCAAAGCTGCATCCTCTTGGACTTACCGAGACCCGAAAGTTGTCGGCCCGGTGGCTGGAATCTCAGCTAAGACCGACCACGCTTGCATGCTCATGTTGTGAGGCAAGCTGAATTCTCTTTGTGAACAGCGAGTCGCGCGCAAACAGCCAGAAGAGTGAAATTAGCTCCCGGCAAAGTGCCCCTCGAGTAAATTGTAATATCCCAAGAAACCAATCTTGGGGGCCAGCGCGGGCTAGATCTCGCAACGAGATGAGAGATGCGACCTACTTTCGGGGTTGAAATGCGATGTTGACCAGGATATGCTTGATGTAACCCTCCTGCCGCCGCCTGCAAGCGTCTACGAATACAGAGTACTCCGTACCTCACCTCCCCTCAGTCGGGAGATTTAACCCCCGTCCCAAGCTCTCAGGTTCCAGTAAGTAAAGAAACGACCTAGTGCCATGTGGTATCGTTCGGCCTGAGCTCTGACGCACTTTTGACTCCATCCCTTCCGCTGCAACGCTGTCAAACACTGCCAAACTAAGGCAAGAAGGCTGGGGGACGTGCGAATCTGCAGGCTAAGGCAACGGATGCGATGTCAAGTAAAAAAAAAAAAAACACCTTCCTGGTGGAACCGTGCCCAGCAACCAGAACCTCTATCTACATCACCACAGTATGTATGGGTCCATGGATGATGGGAGGCTCTACCGCTACCTCTTTCCTTATCGGAAGCCTGGGTTCACAATTCAAGCGAACTGCGAGACATGGGAAGGGGGGCTGTTTGCTGATTCCGAACCCTGCCTCCCAAGATACCCATGCCAACCTGCTTTTTGCAGCACTAACAAGGCAGGAGGCAAGGTCTGTTTCTCAATGCGACAATCAAGCTTCTGGGGCCAGAAATGAGGAACAGGAAACAGGGACTTGGGGTGGAAAGCTCGAAACAAATTCCGGGGCTCCCAAAAGCGAGGAAGCTGGGAGGTAGCCGGAGAAGCTCGCATTTACCTCATTGTAAGGTACAGTACGAATACATGTGAGACGCGCAAGCCAACGTAGTCTGTATCTGCCACGTGAAGCTGACTTCGGTCATCTTGCATCATGATGGCCTTGATTTGGGAGGAGTACACCGTCCGACGCTTGGCCTCTCGTCATGCTAGAAAGAGGCAGCCGGAAGTCGGCAGCATGATAGCTTCTACATTGACCGTTAGTGACGAAGGTTGACAGCAGAAGAAAAATCATCGTGGGCAGACAGATCCCGCCGGGCCATTGGTGACTGAGGGGGGAGTTGCAGTCAGTTACGGCTGGAAACAAGGAAAAAAAAAGTGCTAGCTGGCAAGGTCTGGGCAGGACGTGGTTGCGTGGCTATCGCAGTACCAAGAGGGATGAGGTCAATCGAATGCACATCGACGCGTCCGATTCGCCAATGACCCCGGGAGCCCTCTGTTGTGGCGCCGTGGCGCTCCACTCTGTGTACTCGGATATTTGATTGGGCAGGTTCGGCAAAAAGGGAAAGGACGGGGAGGGAAGGAGACAGGGGTTGAGCTTCCTACCTTATGCCTGGGGGGTTCGGGGATTCAGAGTCAATTCCCACATACCAACGACTTCTCCCACACTTTCTTTCTCCATCATTCATCTGTTCATGCTTTTGCGCCGGATGCCACGAGACACTCAATTGCTTCCCTTTTGTGCCAAAACTCATCGTGAGCTAAATTATGGCCCATAAACTATGTTACTGTTCTCCTCTGACAAGGATTGACTCGTCTGACGTCGGAGCGCATATCGAACTCCCAAAGCAAAGCTCTTCTGCCAACGAAAACGACCAACATGTCTATTGTCATGGTGACCGCCAGCTTCCACACTTTGCACCACACTACCTCTCAATAGAGCATCGGCGGCGTGGTGGGACCTGGAGATCAGTACCCTTCTGCGCAGTAGCCTCAAGACCAGCTCTGCATCGCTCTGCATCGCTCTACATCGCCCTTTGAGCGTCGGCACACCCGTCAGGTCCCCGTCCCACCAACACCGCCATTCGCTTCCCCAACGTTACGCTCCCGCCCTGGCCCACGCCAGGGGGCTGGTCGTTGCCAAGGCCCTTGGTCGAATCTTGTCGGCACTGGACCCATCCCTCAGCTTGCCAAGGGTTGGTCCCGCATCCAGAGGCAGCCCCCCTTACTCGATGAGCTTTTTCCAACTTTCCACGCTAGGCCACCCACAGTGGTTGACCTTGAGGAGAGAAACAAGCAAATCTCTGCTACTAGCCAACCGCTGCGGGGAGGGGAGGTCGCGTCAAGAGACAGGACGGGGGTAGCAATCTCGTGGTAGACGTTCCGAGACATTAGAGATGAAGCACCCGGATTTCAAGCTGGTCTGCGCGCATCGCAATCAGATTAGGTCGACCAACGATGGGGTGAGAGCTTGAGATCGGTCAACCGGAAAGTCGGCCCTCAAGGTTGAACACGTCCTTGTCGCGCTATTGCTGGACCGGCCGCTTTCTGGAGCCACGATGAGGAAAGCTTCTGACGTATTACCCTTCGATGGCCGATCCACAAAACACCTTATCGCCGCGACTCACCTGACGACGGCCCGAACAGTCGAACTACACCAGCCACCCACTTGACGGACTTTCAAAGAGGCGTCACGGCCTCACCCGGGGATCTTGACCGAGTGTCCTTCTCGATCTATCAGAAAAAATTCAGTGCTTTTTGCAGATTCTGCGTGTCGGTGCTGGCAATCGCAACTGAATTCCATCAAAGCCCCTGTCATCCGGACTTTGCTCTCTTGGAAGCGAATGTGCAACGCGGATTAAGAGAACGTGACATCCCTGCCGACTCGTGAACCACTGACAATCCATGCGGTGATCGGTGCGTTCCCCCTCAAATGCCTGCCTCGCGAAACGCGCACCATCCGTGCCCTTCCATCCAAACACCTCCTCGAATATATAGGTCTTCAATCACCAGGTCACCTACGTAGGCAGACAGCCGCCCCCGCCCCTTTCTCGTGTCATGTTGAAGGGTGTGAACGTTGCGTTGTCCGTCGAGTGGCATGATGCGGGTAGCCGAGAATAGTGTGAAACAAACAAGAAAATAGCAAAACTGCGACGCCGCCAAGAGCAGCACCACGGTGCCGTGAGGGCAAATATCACGAGAGTTGCAACATGGCCAAGGCCCGAGATTCTCAGCCGATGGCCGTAGGAATTCCCGTTTGCTTTCTGGCACACGTGTGCATTTGCTTCTGTGTAGGTAGTTGAGAAGAGAAGGCCAGTCTACTTGTGGGAACTGTTGACATTGTTGAACATTTGTGGAGGGGTCGAAGACTTTCTCTGGTGTTTTCACAAGAAAGACCATCGCAATGGGAATAGCAACGATCAATTTCCCCATCATACCCGTCACTCTGCCTTCATCATTATGCCCAGTAGAGTACATACATTCGGCAAAAGATCGATGAGATGAATGGTCTCAGTCTGAGGGGAAAAAACACAAACCGCGACTCCGCGAACGAATCAGTGTCGGCCCATCTGTCTTCGACCCATTCCATCGGGCCGCGCGTATGTGTGAGGATGAATAACCAATTCGACTGGAAGCACAATAGCGATGGACCATCATTACGGTATCATCACTCTTGTGACGAGCAAAAAGCCGTTTGTTCGCTTCGACTGATGCCTATACGATCCGCACCATGCGACCCGTCCCCGCGGCCACGACCTTCATTTCGTCAACTTCCAATGACCATTTGCTTACATGGGGCCAACGCGTACACACATACGCATACGTGTGTAAGTGTAAGTGTGTAAGTGTAAGAGAGAGAGTGTGTGTGGCAGCCTTGCACAGCTGAGAGGCCAGACACATAGCTGATGTTGTCATGATCGGCTCCGGCATGTTTTCCCCGCGCGCATGCGTTTGTCTAGGCTCATAGCACAACGTACAGGAACCCGACGCACAAGACGGGACTTGTCATTTGCGGGAGAGAAAGTTCTGGCCCAGCCAATGTCAGCTCATGTTGTCTGTCTTATTACACATTGCGGGTATAGGCCGCCTTCCACTGATCGGAAATGGGCCAAGCTTTGGGGGAACGCCCAATCAATTGAGTGCGAATTCACTAGATTGCAAGTTCGCAAGTCGCGTAGCTGACGAGTATGAGTAACAATTATACTACTGCTAAAAGGACTTGTGACCAAACCAAGTTTTCTTCCCAACGCCGTGATCTGTGTGCAACAGTCAAAATCCTAGCATCGGAACCGTCGAGCCCTCTGAGCCGCGGAAGAGCGTCTAAAGACCAGAACCTCTCGTAAGCAGCCCATGCGAGAAAGCAAAAAAGGGCAGCCTCGCCCAGAGCGTTGTACGTCAAAACAAATACCAATGGGGTGTCAATGACCAATACCACCCATGAGCCTGAAACATAAAACTATTACCAGCGTGATCCCATACTGAAATGCCCCGAACCCCATAATATGCCATCAACGTGTGTCATCAGCCGTCAAATCCATCACTACTTCATCTACAGTGCTCTTCAGCCGCTGCACATGATGCAGGACTCGGGGTTTTCGATGCTGCCTTGAGGGGAATTAGTAAGTGCCATAAGGAATAGATTTATGTGGGGTAACTCACAGGCAAGCACGGCCTCGGAGTAGATATCTAACTCTCTCTCCTTGCTCTCCTCGGTCTTGTCCTCAGCATCGGGGGTCTTGCTGCCGGAGACGGGCAGCTCCTCAATCTTGAGAGTCTCAGCGGGCTCAGTGGGGAGCGCGCGAGGGCTGTCACCCTCGACGACATCGGCAGTGAAGTTGTCAGGCTTCTGAGCCGGGGCAGTTCTGGGAGGAGGAGGGGTGACGCTGGGGGTAGGGATGCCGTTGTCCTGAGCAGAAGAAGAGTCCTTCTTTGCGTACATGGGCCTGGGGACATTCACGACAGGGGCGGCGACGTGGCCAGGAGGAGGCGCACGCTTCTTGAGAGCCTTGCCGACGGCGGCGTCAGCGATCTTGAGCGCCTCTTGGTCGACGGTGAACTGAATAGGGGCAGAAGCTGCCTGCGTACGCAGGTAGTACATGCCCGTCTTGAGACCAAGCTTCCAGCCGGCGAAGTGCATACTGGTGATCTTGCCCATTGTCGGGTCCTTCATGTGGATGTTGAGGGACTGGGACTGGTCGATGAAGGCACCACGGTCGGCAGCCATCTGGACAACGGTGCGCTGGGATATCTCCCAGACGGTCTTGTACAGAGCCTTGACCTCAGCGGGAATGTTGGGGATGTTCTGGATAGAACCGTTCTCGGCGATGATACGGTTCTTCATGGCATCGGACCACAGGCCCATGTCGACGAGATCCTTCAACAACCAGGGGTTGACAACCTGGAACTCGCCAGCAAGAACACGACGTTGGTAGATGTTGGAGGTGTAGGGCTCGAAGCACTCGTTGTTACCCAAGATCTGCGAAGTGGAGGCAGTAGGCATGGGAGCAACGAGCAAACTGTTGCGCACACCGTGCTCCTTGATCTGCTCCTTCAGAGAGTCCCAATCCCAGAGGTCAGAGGGCTTGACGTTCCACATGTCGTACTGGAGGATACCCTGGGAGATAGGGGAGCCCTCGTACGTGGAGTAAGTGCCCTCCTCCTTGGCCAGCTGAACAGACATGGTCAGAGCAGCATGGTAGATGGTCTCGAAGATCTTCTTGTTGAGATCACGGGCCTCAGGAGACTCGAAAGGCATGCGAAGGGCGAGGAAAGCATCAGCAAGACCCTGGACACCAAGACCAATGGGGCGGTGACGCATGTTGCTGTTGCGAGCCTCGGGAACGGGGTAGTGGTTGACATCAATGATCTTGTTCAAGTTGCGGACAACGACCTGAGTGACCTCGTGAAGCTTCTGGAAGTCGTAGACACCATCGTTGTAGTCAACGAAGGTGGGCAGGGCAAGGGAAGCCAAGTTGCAGACAGCGACCTCATCGGGTGCGCAGTACTCGATGATCTCAGTGCAGAGGTTGGAGCTGCGGATAGTTCCGAGGTTCTTCTGGTTGCTCTTGCGGTTGGCAGCATCCTTGTAAAGCATGAAGGGGTTGCCAGTCTCGGTCTGGGCCTCGAGGATGGCATACCAAAGCTTCTGGGCCTTGATGGTCTTGCGACCCTTGCCCTCGCGCTCGTACTTCTCGTACAAGGCCTCGAACTCCTCGCCGTAGCAGTCAGCCAGGCCAGGGCACTCATTGGGGCACATGAGGGTCCAGTCGGCGTTCTTCTCGACTCTCTTCATGAACAGATCGGGGATCCAGAGAGCGAGGAAAAGGTCACGGGCACGGACCTCCTCCTTGCCATGGTTCTTGCGCAAGTCCATAAACTCGAAGACGTCGGCGTGCCAGGGCTCAAGGTAAATGGCGAAAGCGCCAGGACGCTTGTTGCCACCCTGGTCGACGTAGCGAGCAGTGTTGTTAAAGACACGAAGCATGGGAATGACACCGTTCGAGGTGCCGTTGGTGCCGGCAATATAGGAGCCAGTTGCACGGATACGGTGAGCGTTGAGACCAATGCCACCAGCCATTTTGGAGATCATGGCGCAGGTCTTGAGGGTGTCGTAGATACCCTCAATAGAGTCTTCCTTCATGTCGACGAGGAAGCATGAAGACAGCTGGCACTGGGGGGTACCAGCGTTGAAGAGTGTGGGGGAGGCGTGGGTGAAGAACTTGCTGGACATGAGGTTGTAGGTCTCGATGACGCGCTCGACGTTATCACCCCAGATGCCGACAGCAACACGCATGATCATGTGCTGGGGTCTCTCGGCAATCTTGCCATCAAGCTTGAGCAGGTATGATCTCTCCAGGGTCTTGAAGCCGAAGTATTGGTAGTTGAAGTCACGGTCATAGACAATGGCAGAGTCGAGCTCTTCCTTGTGTCTCATGACGGCATCGTATGTCTCCTTGGCAATCATGGGAGACGCCCGGTTGTTTCTGGGGTTGACATAGTGGTAGAGGTCGCTAATGACCGAAGACCATTGCTTCTTGGTCTGCTTGTGGAGGTTGGAGACAGCTATGCGGGCAGCGAGGATGGCATAGTCGGGGTGGGTGACAGTCATGTATGCGGCAGTCTCGGCGGCCTGTTCATGAAATTGTTAGCACCCGGTAGAGAGAGGTAGAGGAGAGCAGTGTTTACCAAGTCATCAAGCTGCACAGTCGTGACACCACCGTAAACACCGGAGATAACCTTTTGGGTGATGGCAACCGGGTCAACGTGGTCCATGTCGAGGCCATAGCATAGCCTGGACACTCTGGCAGTAATCTTGTCGAACTGGACGCGCTCCTGGCGCCCGTCTGCGCTCAATCAGTATCGTGAGCGACCACTTAACGCGTCTGAGCAGTACATACCGCGCTTCCTCACGAACATGGTGCCTGAGTTCGGCTATGAGATTGTGGGAGACGGGGGGTTTTGGGTCGTCTCGCGGGAGACGTAGGAACACTCGAGAGCAAGAGGATGAAGGTGAATTGCTGTAGAAGAGAGATGGGGTATCAAGAGCACCAAGAATTAGAACTGTAATGGTGCTAGAAGAAGTTGCGTCAAGAGTGTTTGGGTTGTGGGAGGTTGAGAAGAGAATAGACAGATGCCAGGAGGTGCTGCAGATACTTATGGCAGTGCCAATTCGCGTAGAAACGCGTCTACGGGTCTCAACGCCAAAGTGGACTTTAGCGCGACGAGGTAGGGGGGCAGGGGGGGCACGTCAAGGCATCAATAATAAATTGGCTGGCAAAAGGCCGCAAAAGTGGTTTTCTGGCCTTGTAGGCTAGGCATCTCCGCCCGTGCCCCTCGGTTCACGTTCGCATCCCCGAGCCAACACTTACCTGGAACACAATGGACGACTGTAAAAAGAACGGACAATCTCAATCTCACAGCTGGCAACCACTGGACTTGACTAATGCTAAGGTACGTACGACTGACTGGCTTGGAAATCAAGTCTGACAACAACTCCACTGTGGATGGATTGTTGTTTGTCTCTTCCCATTCTTCTCACTTCCCATCTGACGCGGGTTGCCGCTTGCAACGGAGAGATGACTTCACATTTGTCCCGAGGAACTGTCCTGCTTGGAATGCACTTTGAAACTCTTTAATTGATTTTACTCGCGTCAAACCGATTAGTCGGGTGCAGTGCACGCGTTGACCCCTCATCACCGTTTCAGCGCAGCGATGCGGTGGTGCACTTTAATGGATTTTTCTGTAGGCACTTTACGCGTGCACTGCACGTCGCTTCATGGTGGGGGTTCCACTCCATCACGATGTCACGTGAGAGAGGCCAAAATCAATTAAACAGCCTCAGTGAGATTGAGGCCAAACGACGTCACGACTATATCAATTGGCGTTTTTCTGCCTTGAAGACATGAAATTTTGAAGCTTGAAGACATCATTGCCCATTATCCATGAGAGGATTCTCGCCTCTGTTTCTCACCAGAGCACGGCCGCAACAGTTGATTCAACCATTGCATAGAAGCTTTCTGTCATCGCCATCACCCATACTCACAATGGCCACTCCCACAGAGGCCTGTAAGCCGGCATACCAGCCCCGCTATATTGATGTGTGTAACTCACGCTCGTCAAACTTACTCATGATTCAGCGTGATAACCCTCTATTCTTGGTAGATTGGCATCAACTTGGCCGATCCCATCTTCAGAGGTCTGCACCACGGCAAGCAACGGCACCCTAACGACCTTGCCGGGGTCATCTCAAGAGCGAAGGAAGTCGGATGCACCAAGCTGATAGTCACGGGGTCCGACTTCACCAGCTCCAGAGATGCCCTGGATATTGCAAAAGACTACCGTGAGTCAAATAGATGTGCACCTTACGTCAACCTGTCATTGACTTCGCGATAATGCAGCTGGCGTCGTGTATACTACGATCGGAATCCACCCCTGCAGCAGCGCAATCTTCAGCAGCTCGGACGATGCCGCAGAGGGCATTAACACGGATCCGGACCCCGAGAAGCCGATCTCTGAGCACCACGAGCCGGATCCGAAGAAGACGGAGGCCATCATAGCCGAGCTTCGTGACCTCATCAACGAGTCGACCGCCTCCCACTCCGGCGTCGTCGCCTTTGGGGAGTTCGGGCTCGACTACGACCGCCTGCACTACTGCTCAAAGAAGGTTCAGATCCACGCTTTCGCAGCGCAGCTTGATCTCGTGCTCGAGACGAAGCCTCAGCTGCCCCTTTTCCTACACTCTAGAGCAGCACACGCGGACTTCGTCCAATTACTCAAGGACAAGTTTGGGGACAAGCTCGAGAAGCTGGAAAAGGGCGGCGTTGTGCACAGCTTCACTGGTTCCATGCAGGAAGCCAAGGAGTTGATGGATCTTGGCTTGTACATTGGCATCAATGGATGCAGTTTCAAGACCGAGGAGAACTGTGAAGTCGTCAAGCAGATCGGCTTGGACAGGATGATGATTGAGACCGATGGCCCTTGGTGCGAAATTAGACCGAGCCATTTCGGTTACAAGTATCTCATTGAGAAAAAGCCGGAGGTTAACGGCACCGCTCAAGATGCTGCCAACGGGACTGCAACCCCAGAAGTCCCAGCTCCGAAGCCTCAGCCCAAGAAGAAGAATCAGAAAAAGGAACCTGAAGTGCCGGAGCGCTTCAAGGTCGTCAAGAAGGAGAAGTGGGAGGAAGGAGCCATGATCAAGGGCCGTAATGAGCCATGCATGATTGAGCGTGTAGCTAAAGCCGTGGCGGGTATTAAGGGAGTCGAGGTTGAGGACATTTGCGAAGCCGCTTGGAGAAATACTGTCAAGGTTTTCGGCGTAGAATAGAGCGTAGAGCACAGCATAGAACAATAGACCAGAAGACTTTCGAAAGAAATCAATTTGGGGGGTATCAATATCATTGAAAGTACACGCGCAACGCAACGACTGCGGCCTACGATAGCCTCCTTTCGGAGAGGATTTCATATGCCAGACCCTTTATGGCCCCTGATCCGGCCATGCCGTACGGCCCCTACTGTGACACCTTCTTCCCCAGTCAACCATCCCGGCACTCGCTCTCCATCTATGATGCCGTTCTCCACAAGCTGCCGTATGCCCGCGAATACATGTGATCCGTGCAATATCAGCTTGACGTTGGGGGCCCAAGTTGACGACTGTGTTCGGGGCCGATCTTCAGCACCTGACTCAGCTCGAGAGCTGTTGTTAGGAAAAGGATCCTCCATGACAATGTCTACTCGCTCGATACCCAGTCCATCGTCGATTTTGGCTGTATCGCCGAATCTGGCCTGGGCACATAGACGAGCTCTCTTGTAAAACTTTTCGTCTGTCTCAGCGGCGCCAGCTTTCCGTTTGGAGTCCCTCTTTGCCGCCGAAGCCGAGGTGTCATCCGCCGAATCTTCCGACAAAGGCGGTGTTGGTAAGATGGTGTCAAGCGGTGACTCATTCTTCTTCTTGTCGGCATAGATATCCCAACCGCCACCTGCCGCATTCGTTCGGCCAACGCCTCTGGATTGCAACAGCGCATCGAGGTTCTTGGTTGTAATGTTTGTTGGTTTCAGTGTGTATCGTTCCCGCGGTCGAGAAAGCGCCTTCGGTATTCCTTCGACAACCAGGTTGCGGAAGCTTTTAGATTCGCTTGCTCCCAAAGACCCGACTGTCTGAGATTTGGACAAATAGACGAACGGCGAGGCATCTGGAAAGGCGATGTATAACGTCCGTGAGCTGTCGAGATCCGAGTCGGATTGCGTGAGACCAGTTCCGAGTTGAGTCATGCTCGTGCTGTAAGGAGACTCGACCATGAAGATGCGCAAGACGGAGAGGGTAAGCCCCTCGGGTCGATGAAAATGAAAATGAGCTTTGACGTCGGGCAATACGTGTGACTGAAGGTTTTGGATGAACGTGGATGGGTGAAACCGGGGAAGGGTCAAAGACGCAGTGTCGACTTCTGGGGCCTGCTCTTCATCATCCACGTATGAAGCCTCTTTGAGAGGCATGATACGATAGGCATTCCATTTCTGCGAGGTGGGGTGGTCTTGAAGGTATTGGGCATCTGCCAGCGCCATTTGGTATAGGGTTAGGCCATGACTCCAATCGCCGTCGGTGATGCGATCAATGATCTCTCGTTTGGACCCTTTCCTGAACTGTAGGTCCGCATAGATGGTCCGTAGCTCTTCTACCGATGATGCCGGGGGGTAGAGACCGTCATCATTATCCTCTTCGTCTAGTATAGGCGCGCATAGTGGTACATTCTCATCACTGAGCCATTCGAGGACCAGAGACAGCAAGGATGAACGCGATAAGCGGCCAAGAGCTTTTTGAACGGAAGAGTTGCTGGGCGGTAGTCGTACTGTTGACGACAAGCGTCCTGTAGTTGGGATTGAGAATCGTGCCATGGCCGTCAAAACATTGTGCTTGTGAGGGAAAATCTGGCAGTGTTTTGATGTGTCGCGAGTGCACTGCACTGCACTTTCCTTGTACCTTCGCGGGTGGGGAGGGGGGGATACGAAATATCGCGATGCTTGAGCCTCGGAAATGTCGTCAATCACCCCAGTGACTGAGGCTGAAGTATCTTGAGCGGAGATGGGCTCTGTTATTGGTCGTTGAATCGTTGTAGAGCAAAGACGCGTCGCGTATCCGTACCGTCAAAAGCTCACATGCAGTTATGGTGCACGGAGCACATGTTGCATACGGGGTCGGAGGGGCTTACCGCGAACAGGGGGACACGGGCCACAACGGAGGGGCACGGAGCAGTGGCTCTGTGGGCGGCAGACGTTAAGGTTGGACAAGGGGGGGAGGAAGGCAGTCCGCAGGGACGCTGACAGGATCGGAATGCTTAGGTAGGCAAGGCGAGACGGCTACGGGTTATGGGTGCCCGATCCGACCATGCGTGCCGGCGGGGCCTAAGGTAGAGAGAGGCCGGCGGCCAAGGCACCCGTGGTACCCAGCTCGGAGCTTGCAAATGACGGGAGCAAGTTGCTGACAGTGGAGGCGTAAGGGTTGTTGACGGCGACATGGACGGCAGGGTTCACGATGTTCTGGGACCGAGATGTGCCTTACCTAAGGTACGGAGTACGTTGCGTAAGCCTGTAAGGTAAGGTAGGTATCACACTTGAGATGGTTGGCATCAAACGTGCAAGCCCAGGGCGTGGGCAGCGAGAAAGACATGGGTAAACGGACAGATTAGCAGCCAGCCAGCGGGGCTGTGGTCCCTCCCTGGCAGACGGCGGTCCTGGTCTGCGCGGTACGTAGTAAAGTCCCTGAAGCCTGAAGTATGTATGTAGAAAGGAATAGGTGCAGGATGCAGCGGCTGAGAGGCACGGTCGGGCCTACTTCCCGAACATGGCCGGTGGCACTTCCGAGGGTCGGAGGGGTTGGCAGTTGCTTAGAAATTCAGATTTAAGGGTCCTTTCACAAGGACGCACACACTGAAGGATTGTAACAACTAACAAGCTGTGGCACGATGCGATGCCCAGACACGCCAGAGGAAACACGGCAAGGTTGACACCAGAAACCCGCGACCATACCCAAACGAGACCAGCCGAGTCATGATGGACCCGGGTTCTCATCGTGAGCAACGAATAACGTGGTTGGGGGAAGTCGGGATTTGGGTAATTGGGATTGCTGCTGTCGTGACCGTAGCGCGGGTATTGCATTTACCGCCGGTATTTAGTACCGAAACATTAATAATCTTCCACGAGCGATGCAAGCCACGGCGTAAGTGGACTCATTTGTGCGCACAAAACTTAGAATCTGTGTGATAACGTTTCGTCAGTGGAATGTTTCTGGAACTCAATCCAAGAGAGGCCGCATTGATTGACAGCGTCAGAATTTTCTTCTCACTGCCAGAGATTGAACAATACTCCGTACACGGCACAGCGACATGGAATACAAAACCAAAAACAGATGTCGATCAACTAAAAATGCGACTTGAAGACGTCAATTGCCAACAGCCCGAAAACGAGGGGCGTCGGAACACTGTCAGGCCAGAGATGCGCAATTGCCGCGGGGCTCTCAGAAGATTGGCTAAGCGATGATTCGTTCGCCAGCCATGGGTGAGTGATGACGGGTGGATGTGTGCATCAACAACAGTGGAGTGCGGACTGTGGAGAGGAGCTCAAGATCGAGTGCTCATGCTTCCCGGTCATGGTTCCGGGAGTTGGAAAGGGCGTGCTCGGAAAGAAGGCAGGTTATGAGGATACGGAAATTCGGAATGTCCTATTGCTGTGACTTGGCTGTAATGCCATTCCCGGTTCAATGTAGAAGCTTAGCATATGTTGACTGGGAACCTCGTAGGTGATTGGAGGATGGGACGTCAGATGGGGCACGTCCCCGTTCATCGGCGGGTGGGGGGCTGCACATTGCCCTTGCGGTACCGGGAACCTTCGGACCAAGGCAAAAATAGCGAGGCGCCGGCGGTATTCTGCACATGGGAATGGGTGAGGTGCTAATGATTCCGGTGTGATGTTTTTCCCTCTTGCGTGCGAGACTCAGTGGAAGTGGTGGGAGAGGACGTGGGCGTAGGTACCGGTAATCAAGCGGCGTCGTGTGTGGGTGGAGGTTCCAGGCCTGGATGGCTAGCATATGCCTGGCCACTCACTCGAGTCTCAGTCCCAAGGAGTCAAGTCTCCCGTCGATGGAACTATCTCCAAGAGGAAGACAAGCGACCAGCCTGCAGCGGTACATAGGTACGCAGCAAGTAACGTAGATGCGTGGGGTGCGGCGTGCCCTCTTGCAGGGAAATGAACAAGGCCGTCGGCCAATGGTCGGAGCCAACCAGCACCGCGGAGCACCCTTGGGGCATTGGGGCCCTTGGGGCCCTTGGGGGGCCCCTCCCTCGGGGGCACTGAAAGTCGCGCTGTCGGGTAAAGAAGTTGACTAATACTATCCACTCGGCCTGTGTCCGCAACCTGCCTCTCCGAACAAAGGCTTCATTCTCGCCCAATTTGACTCCTCTTCCCCCATCCCATCCACTCCTCTCCCTGAACCACCCAGCAGTCCAGCCAGAGACCGAGACGAACCTCGCACTCGACAACCTAGACAGGCAGACAACCGTTCAAGAAAACATCCGACCGACACCTTCGACCTCGACAGACCATCGCCAGGTCTCGTCTTACATCTACCCGATTCGACGCCAAGTTTTGCCCCTCCATCGTCGCCGACTTCACTGCCGAGCAAAAGTTGGAATCGATCCCGGTCCACGAACCGCGCGCATTTAATTCAACTACGTTGGGGGCTTTACAACCAACGCGGCCACAACACCAACCCACTTAACGCCATCGCCGCCGTCCTCGACTCGACCTCAGGGACCCAGTCTTTTACAACCACAAAACAAATCGACACCCTCGTCTCCGAGTCGATTTGAAGGAGCCCTTTTGCTCTTCTGCCTCTCTGTTCTTTGGTTCCAACACCGCCGGCTTCGTACCCGAGAGCCTTCACCGGCCGAGCGACATGTCGCCTTACACAAGCACTGGAGGCGGGCGCGCGCCCAATGTGTCTCGCTACCTGCGTGACTTGAACACCGTCAAGGAGCCCGGTTCCGCCGAGGAGAACTTCACCTTCGAGGACGATCTCGCCATGTTCACAAACACTCAGTTTTTCGACTTCGAGACTGGCCAGCACACCGACTACCAGGCACCGCCCAAGAAGGCCGAGACCGCTACCGTTGCTGAGCCCCAGCCTCCATCCAGCGCCGTCACCGAAGAATTGACCTCTCCCATTGGCGACTTTGGCAATGTCGACTTTTCTCTGCCAGGTAAGAAGATGCTTTCTTCTTGTTTACTTGGGATTTGGTGTACTTCATCCTTTTTGTTCATGTTGAGGCGTATGGGCTTGTGTGGGATTTGGTATGGATTTTTGGTTGTTCATCAAAAGTTCTGACCCAGTCACATCACATCGTCATTCTCACTCATCATCACCATGCTCATCACTCACACCTGACTTTTTTTACTTCAACCATCTGCCACGTTACAGACAGCCATGGGCACAATCACCTTAGTATCGGGCGAATGGGAAACGGACGACGATTCACACCGTTCACACATGAGTCAAGTGGCCCCTCTGAACTTTAACCTCCCAGTTCTCATCAGCGATCAGCTCAACTTTCTCTCAGGGTCGCAGCCAAGCGCATGCGACCGCCTTATCACCAGCCTTTCGAACCTGTCCTTTCTTACCCCACCCTGTTCATGCGCAGTCCATGTTTCATTCGGATGTCTTGATTGGGAGAAGCTGCCTGCTCTTATGCAGGTTGCCGGCGTGCGGTGTTGAGGGAGAGCCGCGACTCCAGATTGGAGCTTACAAATTGCCGGGGGATGGTGCAATATCCCGTGACTTTTCGTCATTCATCCTAGCAGGGATGCTTCGACCATCTGGGCAGCCGCCATCCGACACCGATTAAGCAAGTGCTATGGTTGATGGTCTTGTATCTCCAACATTTAGACTCGTCGATGCGGTTGTTCTTTCGATCAAGCGCTATCCGCCCCGTCTTTCCCCTCATTCCACCGTCTCGACGACGCCACGATGCCAGGAACTGATAACTCCTGCCTTGAATCATCCATCTGACCATGAACAATGACAGGCGAATTCAACTTTCACGATTTCACCAACCCCTACCCTGCCTCGGGCGTCCCGCCCTTCGCCGAAGGCCTGGGTAACCTTCAACCTCTCCAGCCTAACCCGCAACCCACCTACGCACCGCCTCCTGTATCTCAGCAGCACAACCACCACTATGCTGCTCCCACGCCTTCTGCCGCCGAGACCAGAACTCCTGAGTCCTTGAACGGAGTCAGCAGGCCCGGCCACAACTTCGAGGAGCAGTCTCGCGTTGCCGCAGAGGAGGATAAGCGCAGGAGAAACACCGCCGCCAGCGCCAGGTTCCGCATCAAGAAGAAGCAGCGTGAGCAGGCTCTCGAGAAGAGCGCCAAGGAGATGTCGGACAAGGTCTCGGCTTTGGAGCAGCGCATCAACCTTCTCGAAACCGAGAACCGCTGGCTCAAGAACCTCGTCATGGAGAAGAACGAGGGCAGCGAGGACATTGCTTCTATGCTCAAGGAATTCCAGAACAAGCAAACCAAGACGACCGCGACATCTTCGGACTCTCTCAAGACTGAGGAGGCAAAGTAGAAATGGGAAAGCTTTGTCAATATTCGGAGGAGTCACTATACTCTCTCCGAATGACGCCTGTATGCAATGCGTTTCATGTTCAAGACGTTGGAATTTATTCTGGCACCAAATGGAGTTTGATACCGTGGAGGGACGAAGAGACATGCTGTGGGATGGGAGTCGTGATAGGGGGGGTTAGAGGGGAGATGAACGGGCGGTACTATTGAGCGGCTTGTTTTTACTGATTGGCAACATGTGATGAGATTTTTACATGTATGTATACCTGCACGAACTCATGATCTGGGACGTGATAGAGTATATCACAGCAATGAATTATACGGATGGGTTTATCGACCCTAAAGCTATTGACTAAAGTCAACTCTAAATTATTCTTTGTTCAACCAAAACTCCTAAAGCCCTTGTTCCCTCCCCCAGCGTGTGTGCTCAGGATAGAGTCAGGTTAGAAGGTCTCAACATCTCGCAACTCGAAGGCGTGCTCCCGCGGTCCCCATCAGGTAGAGTTCAACCACCCCAAGCCAGCACAGGCATCCCCTGGCCTCACCTGCTCTTATGCCCATGGATGGATCGGGAGAGAAAGAGCCGCTGCTCGGCTCTACGTTCGTGTTCACTGGTGACCCCCGCGCCTCTCCACTTCACCGCCGACATGCCCCATTGACAAGAAAAGAGTAAGAACTGATGGCCAAGCCGCCACAGACTCGCGGGCCCTTGTCTAGGGCCCAGAGTCAGTCTTGAGGAGGTACGTAGCGCCATGTCTCGCCCATGGGAGGTTTAGTAGGTAGGCTGGAACGGGGATCCGAACATTCGAGGCTTGTTACAGGTACGGTGACCCCATCTGTCCCATGGATCGGACTCTAGACTGCAGTCTCCAGAGAACGATGAAAAACTCGGAACCCGCTAATCCATAACGATATGCCCTCTCCGGAATGTGGTGGGCTGGGTTCAGAGAGAGTAAGACGGATCATAAGGCACGGGATAGGACAGAGCGAGGGCTGACGATGGCGAAACGGAAAATCCTGTCTGTCTAGGCCCAAGGGGCGGGCGCGGCGTGGGCGGCCAGGCTCAGAACCAGGTTGGAGGACGAGGACGGCACGGTAGAACAAGACGGGATGCAGACTTTTTGGGTCGAATGGAGACGATTCATTTCTTCGGTGCTGGTAACTGTGCAGTGGTTTTACGCAACCACTCGGCCTTACCATCCGAACCCTCGTCGATACTCTAACGGAGTCAAGGGGGGGAGAGATGGGGATCCTCTTGCTATTGGGAACTACCATAGCACATCCACTTAATCATACAATATCTTTGACAAACTCTTTCCAGGCCTTCTCACGAGTCTCTCCGAATGAGATGAGTCTCACCGAGAGGTACTTCGTGACAGTCGTGGGTGAAGAGACAGGAAAAAAAGGGGGGAGTGTCTCTAAGGTGAGTTTTTTTCTGTCTCTCTTCCCAATCCTCACTTTCCAGCCTCGGCCCCGTTCTTCTCCTTCTCCCCCCTGAGCGTAGCAAGTCGAAGCTGGTTCCTCTTACCCAAGATCCTCAGCGTGTTGCGCCTCTCAATTTCCGTCATCTCGCCCCAGTTGCTGATTCGCGACATGGTGCCGTCCTGGTTGACGACCAGGGGGCCGAGGTGGTCCAGCCTGGTCGAGGCGTCGCCGCCGCTCATGTCCAGCGTGATGGTGTTGCTTCCGCTGCTGCTGCTGACGCCCTTGTTATTGTTGTCTCCTCCTCCCACTCCTCCTCCCGCGGAGTTCCCGCCAACAGCAGAAGACGTCCCGTAGCCCTCGGGCAGCGGCGGCAAAGCCAGGGGTCCATCCCGCCGCTGAGCACCAGCGAGGCCCTGATCGTCGCCCTGGGAGTGAGGCTGGCACTGGCTAGAGTCGGCGCCACTGGTGTTGGGACTGGCCTCCGCGGGGGCGTTTGATGTCGTTTTTTTAGGGGCCGGTGACGTGCTTTCCGTGGGGTGGTGCTCTCGGTGGCTACCGGTACCATCGCCGCCGTTCAGTTTCCTCTCTTCTTCACCCTCACCTTGTCCTGCAGCCGACCACATTGTCGTAGACTGAGGGCCCGATGATGTGCTCATCCTGCTTTTGAACGTCAACCTCCTCGTCGACGTCGTCGCGGTGGCGATGGCGGCGGCGGTCAGCGCGGGTGACGGTCCGAATGATTGGCGGGTTGAGAGTCGGAGAGGCGCGTATAGACGTGGGATGTAGCCGAACGGTGGTCTCATTTGGGTAATGTCTTGCGTAAATGGTTTCGTTTCTGGTATGGTAATTGCAGCGAGGGTTTGAGCCTTTGAAAACCGAGGTTGGGGGGCGTTCGAAATTTGGGAGGGTTCGTTGGTGAGTTGTGGTGAGTTTATTGACGATATTCAAAGTGAGAGTGAGGTGGGTCCCCCGCTTGGCGTTGGAGTTGCCAAAAGTATCTGCTAGTAATTTCCAGACCCGGTTGACCTTCTTCCTTCTCTTTTGTCCTGTTTAATCATTCAAACAGTCCAAACCACCAAATTGCGTGGTAAAATCGTCTGCCGCTCTATGCATTCTTTTCTCTATCGCTATTACCGTACTATCTCGTGGTAGCTGGCATTTTTCTAAGCAAAAATTTTTTGGCTTGAAATATTGTGGTAACGAATGTGAGTGAGGATACATCAGCCGTGTGTTATTCTGTCATACACTTGCGGGCGTACCGGCCTACACATCGTAACTTGGTCACATCCCCCCACGCACACAGACGAATATTGCAATTTGGCTATGTTTCATTGAAAGGAAACATTTTGTCTATGTTTATTACTTTATTTTTCACTGAAGGGGAAGGTGGTACATGAACCTCTTCCGATGGCGTGAGCCATACCACCTCCGTCTAGGGCTTATGGCCCGCCTCTAACAAAGACCTAATTCAGAAAGCCTTCCGTTGGGTATCAGGTATTGGCTTGAGCCATAAACTGCCCTCGTGAGAGGGCCTGGAAACTGATTCTATCCTCCTAAACGCCATTGATGCCCGAAATCACTAACAAAGGAGAGAAAGGCATGCAGCTGGCCATTCTTAGCGACGGCTTTCGCCACTTGTACGACGACGGTCGAGACGTCTGACCACCGCACCGAGAACGACCTTGAGGATATTGTCTGCCGTGAGCACGCCGCGGGTACCGTTCTCCCAGGTAACAGTGTCAACCATGTCTCGAAGATCGCCATCGCATCTGCCGACGAGGTCGTCGTCGAGCTCTCGGAGCGCCTCGCGGGCACCAGGCTCATTTCCAACCTGGAAGAATTGCACGCCGACCTGATGCATGGGAGCGTCGAGCTTGTCGAGCTTCTTGGCTGCATAGAGGATGGTGGCCTCGACGTCATCGGAGGGGGCGCCGTCAGTGATGACAATGAGGTTGATGGGCTTGACGCTCTCGATGTCGTTCTTCTTGGTCTCGAGGAGCTGAAGATAAGGCTTGAGGATGGCCAGGAGGCGCTGGCCCGTAGGCGTGCAGCCGCGAGGACGAACCGACGTGAAGATGCCCTCGACCGTATCGGCACGACGAATGCCGTAGTAGCCACCCGCGGCTTTACCCTCACGAGGATTTCCACCTGCCTGGGTCTTGTGGTTGAGGAAGTAGAGGTCAACTCCGTCCTCGTCATGCGATGTGCAGATCGGGGCGATGTTGCGGATTACACCCTGGACCTCAGGCCATGAGCGGCCGGACATGGACCCCGAATCGTCAATAACAAAGATGGTGTCGAATGAGGAAAGGAATGCGTAGGGGTCCTCTGGGGTCGAAACGCTCATGCCGGTGCTTGACATGATGGAACCGGCGTTGGATGGGGCTGGCGAGGGGCTTCTAACAGGCCCGCCATTGCTTCCCAGGTAGCCATTCTCTGATGGAGAAGGTGGTATTACCGAGTAAGCTGGAGGAGCATGGTCGGGGGCTGAAGGCTTATTAGCGCTTTTGGTCTGAGACGGAGGAGTAACGATGGTGTAGGGGTAAAGACTCACGATGGGCGGGTTTGATTGCAGGGCTTGAAAAGGGGTTGTTGCTGCCGGGTGTCGTCATGTTCGACTGGGATGCCTGCTTGGACTTGCGAGAAGATGATGACTTGCGGCCAAGCTTCTGCTTGAAGGCCCCGAAGATAGACATGCTGATCTCGGTTTTCTCGCTGGCGGAGTAAGGGTTTGTGGAGGAGAAAGAATCGCCGAGGTAAGGCATTGTGAAGGAGGATTGCTGCTGCCGCAGTGAAGTTGATATAAATGTCAAAGTGGGGCTGGAGCCGTCGGGGAAGGCGATGTATGTGGCTGTTCTTTCTCGAAGGAAAGTTTGCGGTAAAACAGAAAGCTCCGAAAGTTTGACTTGATGGGAAATGCTACTCAATCAATAGTATGGGCCACAAAGGTGTAATAGCAAGATGTGAGGTGAGTTGATACTATTCAAGTCTTTGTTGTTGTTGTTACTGTCAATGGTATGGGTTTCAAGGGTATGCTGAGTTACTTCTACCAGTCATCTTATATTGGTTCTACTCATCGCCTCTTATCAAAGCTCTCAGAGCCTTGACAAAGTAATCTGCCTGGTCATTCTGCCTGAGTCTGAAGTTGAATTATCGCTCTGACTAGTTTGTCTTTGAGAGATTATGATCTTTGAGCCTCCCCGGGGGCATTGCTCGTGACCGCTGAGGGGCTTATTGGGTGAAGTCACAAACGCAGTCTGATTGGCCAGGAGGCTCGCCGCAGCCACATAGGCTTTTTTTGCACCGCCATGCACCGCCTTCTCCTTGATGCTCAGGCTTGAAGAAAGTGCGCCTGATAGCCAACACGTGGTTCGCCCCTTTGGAAAAATGGAGGAACTGAGTCCCTGGATGCCTCGGATCTGAACAATGCCAAACATGAAGCGTCATAATTTGTCCACCCGGGTTTCTGGGATCGCATCGTGGCTTGGCGGGGAAAGAGAAGACAACGAATCACGTGACTCTATTGACTGTTTTCGGCCGGCCTGCATCTTCGGCCGTCTTCCGTCTCTCCCAGGGACCGCGACGAACGGGGTCAAGGTGACGCTAAGGTCTCGGTACACGGGACCCAGCGAACTATGTACTCGCCGTCGCCGGTTTCGTGAGTCTCTGTCACTGCCGTTTTCGATTCTCGAGGTGATGAATGCTGGGGTTATGCTCTCCCCCAGATGCGTCATGGCTGATTGTCCATGCGTCCATATGAGGTGGCTCTATCTGTTGGTCGTAGGTAACAAAATGATTCTGCTGGTTGGCTTCTTCAGATATTTCCTTTGCTCTCTGGCCTAGAAAACCTATCAAATTCGATGATCGGGTGCGCCGGCCCACGACGACAACACAAGCGCCCTGAGTGTCCCGGCAAGTCACGTTCGGGACCCGCCCTAGGTTGCCAGGCTTATCTTACATGGTTGGGCCGGGCGTTCAGCAACGCAGAAAGCTGTGCAATATCCACTTTGTGTGCCGTTAATGACTTGATACTCACGATAAATCGAGATATCCTGCCCCTTGCTAGACTCTGGAGAAGGTCTGGCGAGGGCCGATTTCCCCCCAGAAGTCAGGCCCTCGCGGCCCTCAATCCGGGACGGGAGACGGCTACCTGCAGTGATTGGGCACGAATCGCATTCGCAACTGGGTACGGGGCAGGCCGTGATGCGGAGATCCGCTTTGGAGCAGGACACTGACTCTAGACACCGCTTTTTTTACGTACTGTCGTGGTACCAACCCGAATCGTTGACGTTGGCGAGGGAGAACGAGGGGCAGAGGAGGGGCAACTTTCGGGCACAGAAACGCGCTGGCGTTGCGTTTCTCGATAAGAAGTGCCCTTGCGAAACATTGTAATGTCGTCTGCGCTGCGTTCACTCTCATCACCGAACCTGCCCCTAATGACAGATCGACGATTCAGGACTCGTTTGGTTCTGGCCTGAAGACGGCACAAGCGGCACGGATTCGGCGCGGACTAGACTGAGACTGGCTCTGGCTGTAGACCCAAACACTGTTTGCTGTTACTATCCTTTCAGGACCTGTTTTTGACCCCCGTCGCCCTGCGAGACTCGGTAACCATCCGCTCAACTTCGTCAAGTGACAGTCCCACGTTCATCTTCAAGAAGGAAGAAATCGGTTTCCCGGCCTATCAGCGTCGCTATCGCATTCTGGAATCTCCACACCTGGAAGAGCCTGCATAGGAGCTGCATTCTTGACCTGCAGGGATTCCCAAGCCAACGTCAGGACCCAAGTGCCGGTGAAGAGAAGCCTTCCAGCTCATAGCTTCCCCGTATAAGACGTTTTTTGTGCCCCTCGCTGCCTCACCTTGAAAAGGTGAACAGCCCTTTCTGCCCCCTTTTGTTTTTAGCTTCACCCTTCCCGCACCTGCACTCTTCCCTCCTCACCTTCCCCAGATTTTGCTCCAGCCAGGTGATATCGGAGAAACCTCTTTCACCGACCATTAAACTCTTTCCCCCCTTTCAATTGCAGCTCCCAGTACGCAGCTGCTAATATCTCCCACCGTCACTTCCACAACAAAGCCCACACACATTCGTCAGCTGCGTGCAACAAGGCAATATGTTCAGCAATCGCAAGTTCTCCATCAACCGGCACACCGGTGTGCCCAAGCCAAGACGCTTCAGTGTCGGCGAGGTTGGAGGCAATGGTAAGAACGAAAACCTCCCTTTCCTCCTTTCTATACAAATTCCATTCAGTCATCCAAGCAATACCTATCTGCTCGACTTGTCGTGGCTTCAAGCAAGTTATACAGATACGCACAAAGGATGGGAGAAAAGCTTGTTGTCGAGCTCTGGTGTTGAGTGCGGGGTAGGAGCTGAGCAGAGTTGCCCCTCGTTCTCCACACAACTCCAACTCAAGCTCGATGTCATTCTTGGCTTTCTGATCGGCGCCATTGGCCATGATAACTTCACCTCAAGAAAAAACCAATGCTGACATATTCCATCAGAGGTCCAGTCAAAGACTCACAGACAGTTCCGTAATGCCCACGAAGGCCACCAGCCCCACGCCGGTCTCGATGCTAGCCGTGCCTCCACCGGTGTCGTTTGGTGTACTGAGCGTGCCTCCGAGTACGGTTTTCTCGAGGAGCCCGATGCTTGGGCCAACTTGGGCCAGGGTGCCCCCGAAGTTGAGGATGATATTGCTGGCTGCTTTCCCCGTCCCACCACTATCGATATCTCCATGGCTGGTCGCGAGTATGGCCCTACAGCCGGTATCAGAGAACTCCGCGAGGCTGTTGCCAACCTCTACAACGTAATGCACCGCGAGGGCAAGGATAGCAAGTACACTTGGGAGAACGTCGCAATCGTCCCTGGTGGTCGCGCCGGTCTGATTCGTATCGCTGCCGTTCTCGGGAACTCTTACCTCTCTTTCTTCTTGCCCGATTACACGGCGTACAACGAGATGCTGTCTCTCTTCAAGAACGTATGTCTCTATTTCTGAGTTTGAAGCATGAAAGAATGTACAGCATCTGACACTGAGTATTTAGTTCTCCGCCATCCCTGTCCCTCTCGCCGAGGAGGACGGCTACCACATCCACCCTGACCGCATCGCTGAGGAGATCTCCCGTGGTTCTTCTGTCATTCTGACCTCGAACCCCCGCAACCCCACCGGCCGTGTCGTTGCCAACCCCGAGTTGGCCGAGATCCAGGATATTTGCCGTGGCCGCGCCACCTTCGTCAGCGACGAGTTCTACTCCGGCTACAACTATACGAGCAACTGTGACGGCAGTACCATCTCTGCTGCTGAGAACGTCGAGGACGTCGATGAGGACGATGTTCTCATTATCGACGGCTTGACCAAGCGCTTCAGACTGCCCGGCTGGCGTGTTGCGTGGATCCTTGGTCCCAAGGGTATGTGATTGATATCTATAAATTTAATGAACCACTTGCTAACATGGCTTGCAGAATACATCAAGGCGTGAGTTTTTCCTCCACATGTGTGCCTAATGGTGGCCATGAGATTGGAACGGTGGACCGAGACACTGACAAAACTTTAGCATTGGCTCTTGCGGCAGCTACCTTGACGGTGGTGCCAACCACCCCTTCCAGGAGGCGGCAATCCCCATGCTTGACCCTACTCTCGTCAAGACGGAGATGATCTCCTTGCAAAAGCACTTCCGCGTAAGTCGATTGAGCGAGCGGCTTCGAGTTTGAAATTTCCTAATAAAGTGAGTAGGACAAGCGTGACTACGTCGTTCGCAGACTCCGCGAAATGGGATTCATCATTAAATACGTCCCCGACTCCACTTTCTACCTGTAAGTTGCTGTCGTTGAAAGAGACAAAGTCAAGCGCCAAGACTGACATCCACCAGCTGGCTCAACCTTGAGGGTCTTCCTGAGGCCATTGCCGACGGTCTCAACTTCTTCCAGGCCTGTCTTGAGGAGAAGGTCATCGTCGTGCCTGGTATCTTCTTCGACCTGAACCCCTCCAGACGCCGTGATCTCTTCGACAGCCCTTGCCACCACTTCGTCCGTTTCTCCTACGGCCCCAAGATGGAGACCCTGAAGAAGGGATGCGACGGTATTGAGCGTGTCGTTAACAAGTTCCGCAAGTCGTCTGACTAGACGTTATAGAGTGGTTCCTAGGATAGAGGATTGGATGGAGTTGGAAACGGACGACTCACGACGGATGAAGATTGAATACCCTAGTCTTCATTGCTTGAACGTATACACGAAGACGGCACAGTTGATGCCGAACAGACCAATACGCCAGTAGAGCGTGTTACAATGAATGAATTATCGCAACATACAAAAATTTGTCTCAGATTGCTAGTGATTTGATAGCTGGGGTGAAAACCAAATCTCCATGTCGCTTACTTTGAAATGCAGCATTGTACTACTACGGCAGCGATAGTCACAATGTTGAAGCTCTGCATAGTTCACTCACGCAGAGAGAGGCCTTACTCACTTTTACCTTGTCACCATCATTTCGAGAACCAAGGTTTTTACAAGACTTTTACGATTTTTTTTTGGTACTTTTCTATCGCCAATTTTCTCTGAGCCAGATCCAGTCCCTCGGCCGCAACACATCTTTCCTCGAAATTTAGCTAGAAAACTTCAGTGACCAGTGTAGCTAGCCAAGGGAATCCCCCATGGAAACAAAAAGCAAAGAAAAAAAAAGCAAATGATTTTTTTGGTGATTTTGTTGATTTTTGTCGCAACTGCCAATCCCGAACCCAATTTCTGCGTATCCATTCCCAATTTTCCGAGATGTTCCAAAGGTCTCTCGCAAGTTGGTTCCAATGGAGCTGAAGGAGTCGGGGGCGCATGTCCAAATACTCCAACATGTTCAGAGGGAGAAGAAGTCCAAGTTGTGAATTCCCAAAGATCATTAAGGCTTTTTGTCGTCTTCTTTGGTCTCATGGACCGCGTTCAGTGCTGTACTGGTGACGGTGGCACTGTTCTCTTCGTGTTGAGAACCTTGCCTGTTGGTGGCACTGCTTTCTCAGTATCGGTGAGAGCCTTGCTGATAATAGTGATGGTGACGATGATGGCTCTGTATGAAAGCTCTCGAAAGGCAACTTTGGCGGAGTTGAGAGTACCGCTCTTGTTTGGTCTTTTCATGATTGCTGTTGGAGAGCTTTAGGAAGAAACCGGGAGAAAGCAGAATCGCAAACGTGTCGTGAGTCGTAAGTCGTACAGCAGCTTCCTCGTTATATAGAGAAAGCTTCATTGGTGAAGAAAGCACGCAGAGTGAAATGCAGCGAAGTTGGTCTGGCGTAAAGCCACCGACTACTTCATGCAGATGACGTGAGCGCTGGTGATTGAGGCAACTGAGATGGAAGTACCCGTATCATTGCGGACGGTGATGACGGGGGTAACCACAAGCTGCACGCGCCAATGCTCAGCCTGGAGAAGCTGCGGACCAATGTTGGGCGCGATTCCAACCATGGTTCCAGTGTTGAAGCGCGCTCCCGTATCGGGAAAGCGGAACTCGAAAGTCCATCGCGAGGTAAACATCTTCGCCGAGATGGACCATGCCTTCTCGCACATCTGGCAAAGCGCCTCGTCGGCCCTCTCGAGGTCGGGACCGCCTTCAGACTCGGGCAGCAAGAGCGGCGAGAGCATCTCGCGGAGCTCAGCCTGGAAGTACTCGATCCGGTGGTTGCGGTAGGCGTCGTAGCGCTCATGGTTGATGCAAGAGTTAACCAGGGACGCAACTCGATCAATACACAGCTGAAGAGCACCACCTTGACCCGCTGTTTAAGTTAGTCATATTCTTGCATTGAGAGACGTGTCAGATACAACTTACCAGGGAGATTGTTCATCTCGTGGCGAATCTCACGCAGCTGGCGATCAGCATCAACAGAGAAACCCTCCCAGGCCTCGAAAGTGAAGATCCGATTGATAAGAAGATCGATCATGGTACGAGAGATGAGACAAGCACGGCTCATGGGGTCGTTCATGTGCTGACGAATGTAAGACCACGCCTGCTGCTCGCTGAAGGGAGCATAGAGCTTCATCATGTAACGAAGGATGGCAACATCGTTGGAGCGCGACAGAATGCTAAGGTCAACGTTCGAGGCAAACTGGAGCACCTAGCCCCGCGCGAGACCCCAAACGCCCTCAAGAGCACGAGCATAGCGCTCATTGTCGCCGCCTTCATCCTCACTGAAGCCGTTGCCGGGAGCCAATGGACTGGTGACTGCATGGCTGGGGCCATGGCCACCCTGGCCAAAGGGACCGGGACTGAAAGCTCCTTGCTGACGGATGTTAGCCGTATGGTGGCTGTTGCCGGACGAGTTGGGGCCGTGGCTACGAGTGCGCTGTGGAACCATCGAGTAGTCGTTGCTGTAGCCCATGTGGCTCGAGCCCATGCCGTACTGGGAACCATGGGAGATTTGACGTCCCGAAGGAACCAGAGGAGGCGGGCGAGGAAAGCCACCACCGGGTCCTTCAAAGTTGCCGTAATGACCAGCGGAGCGAGTAGTCGGGCTGCGGAAAGGAGTGCTGCCTCCGTTGAAGTTGTGGCGAGAACCAGCATTGGATCCTGAGCCGTAGCTCATGTTGTAGGACGTATCATTGTGGAAGCCACTGTTGTCTGCGTTGCCATACATGCCCGGGTGGAACTCAGGAGCATTGGGACGGAACGAGCCGCGGTGGCCCATGGCAGTGCCAGGGCGGGACGGCATGTTGAACCGGCCTCGATGGTTACTGGGTCCCTCAAAGCCATTGGACTGCTGATATCCGCCGCTGAAACCGTTCTGAATGTCTCGAGTTTGCGAGTAAGAACCGGTATATTGAGTAGGGGTGCCGCTAGACG